GCAGCAGCTCCTCCTGCTCCATTTTTGGGATGGTTTTCTAGGGCTTCACGAGCACAGACGCTTGTTAACGCTGTTCTGAGCACACCTCGATGAGAATTTATGCTGAATGGATTTTCCTAGAGAGCAAAACACAGGTGATTCCATCTTCTGAAGCAGAGAAAAGACAGTATCCATTTTTTGTGTTGCTCTGAAGAGGTGGCATCACATCCTGGAGGAAAAGCTGTCTTTACTGATTGCCTTATACGAAATCTTAACCAAGTCTGATGCGGATTCATCCCAGCTGCCTTGGATACTTAAATTATACTGAGATTTTGGATTTGGTCACCTCAAACAGCTTTAGAGAGAACAGAAAGGCATCATCAAAGGGCTGTTCAGAGTGGGACGAACCATCCCTTTCCACTGCCTCTGCTGTGACTGCAGCCCAGAGTTAGTTATTCAAATCAACATCTATAATTAGGTGGGATAAATGTGGACCCTGATGCCTTTGCATTACTTAGCTATCTCGAAGTAAACTGCATAAACCTCCTGCGTTCTGGCTTTGAATGTGGAAGATAAACCATACGTGTCCCCTAGTCATGCCTGGGCATCTCTGTGGCTGGTGAAGGTCTCTCCCAAGGTCTACCAGAGCTGCCCAGGGTCCTCTGTGATCACTCCCGATGCTCTGGGGCTCCTCACAGTGTCTCTGGGGCTGCTCCTGGGCTCCTTCCAGCATCTCTGGGGGAATATGTTGTTTACATGCCAGAAATATCAATCACCATAACCTTTGAATGAAGCCAACTACCAGGGGCTATTTGATCTCCAGCAAAAGCCTTCACAGTGCTATTCTTCTTCTGCCCAGCTCTTCCCCTGGCCCACCCACCGAAGCAGTTGGGATTATTGTTATCCATGTTACCACAGTATGTACGTATATAAACCATAACATCCCTCTGCCTTATAGGAATGCCTGAATGACACAGCAGCAGCCTGATGCGCTGTTTGTGCAGAAAGAATCGAGGTCATCTGCTGCTCCTGCCTCAGTCCACCCCCACATCAAGGCAGCAGCTTGAGACTGGGTTTGGGGAACACAATTAGGAGCCTCTTTCAAGTTTTACCTACAGCATGAAACAAGAAGAGATGCTTGTAGACCTTGCTGCCATCCTAATGAATACGTACGATCATAAAAAGGCTCTGCTGAAACAATCAAAGTATGCTTGGCAGAAGTTGTGACCACTAGATGAACTGTCAGTGCAAGAATGTGCTAACAAAGTTGGATGGTGGAAGGTGAACACTACAGCAGAGTAAAAGACACAGAAAAGGTATGTGAGAGAGACATTTATCCAGCCCGGGATGCTTGGCTGTCTCACCAACAGAGGTGTCACCAAGCATAGGGCTGAGCCAGCCGTCCACCGCCAGGCCTGTCAGAGGACCCTGCCTCACCCAGGCTCCCTCCTGGAGGGACACCACCTCACACAGCACTGCCCTGGCAGTGAGGGGAGGGTGACAGAGGGTGTCAGAGCCCTGGCAGAGGCTGCCCAGGGAGGGTGTGGAGGCCCCTTCTCTGGAGATCTTCAAGACTTGCCTCGATGTAGTCCAGAGTGATGTGCTCTGGGCAACCCTGCTTTGGCCAGGGAGTTGGACTGGATGATCTCTAGAGGTCCCTTCCAACTCTAACAATTCCATGATTCTGGGCACTTCTAGCACAGGAGCTGCCGGTAAACGGCATCCCCCGAGCACCTCGGGCTCGCTGAGGCAACGGCCGGGCCCCTCCCGAGCACCTCGGGCTCCCTGAGGCAGCGGCCGGGCTGCCCTCGAGCCCCTTCAGCAGAGGGAAGCCCCTCCCCGACCCCCTCAGGCTCCCCAAGACAGAGGCCGGTTGCTCCCCGATCCCCTTAAGGCTCCCCGAGGCAGAGGGAAGCTCCCCCCAACTCCCTCGGGCTCCCCGGGGCGCTGATTGGGCCTCCCCCGCCGCCCGGTACCGCCGCAGGCCCTGCCCGAGCCCTTCCCGCCGCGGAGCGCGGTTGCCATAACAACAACCGCCCGGCCCCGCCGCCTCAGGCGGCTGCGCGCCAGAAAGTGCTAGAACGGCGCCGCAGCCCGCGCATGCGCAAAGAGGCCCCCCCACCCCCCCGGCGCCGCCGCAGCGCCCCGGGGCCAAGTGAGGGAGGGGGTCGGGAGTGGCGGTGGGGACGGGCGGCTCTCCCCGGGGGAGCGGAGGGGAGA